TCTTCACAGGCCTCTGGGTGCCTCTATGGGCCTTTTTTGTGGCCGTCTTGGGGTCTCGGGGGCCGTCTTGGTGCCGTGCTGGGCCCCTCTTGTGCCGTCTTGTGGCCCTCCTGGGCGGTGTTGCGGGCCTTTGGGGAACTTCTTGGGCCGTCCTGTGGCGATGTTGGGTGGCTATGGGCCCGTCTTGGGGCATCGGAAGTTCGGAACGGCGAGAACGCTAATCATTGAGACACCTATAGGGGCAGTTACAACTGTTGGCCTCCTGGAGGTCCCCTTGGAGCCCTCCTGGGGCATCTAAGGGGCCGTCTTGGCCTCCAGAGGCCGTCTTGGACCTTCCCTGGTCAGTTGTGGTCACTTATTTAGCGTTTTAGTTCCGTCGTGGAGGTCTCTGGGACCGTTTTCGGAGCCGTTTGGCCTATCTTCAGGCCATTGTTTGACCGTCTTGCTCGCCTTTTAAGGGTGTCTGTTGGGCTGTTTCGGGGCGATGTTGGGGGCCTATGGGCCCGTCTTGGAGCGTCGGATGCCCCAGGCGAGTAATCTAAGTATCAGCCAGCGTTGATGTCAAATAGATTTGACGACTCAAAGCAAGGAATCAGAGGAATCAAGCATGCTTGGAATCCGTAACTCAGCAAGCAAGCAAGCAGGCATATACAAAGGCGTAGGCATAGGAGTTAGGGGGGAGACATAGGGATAGGCATAGCCATAGGAATCAGGGGGGGCAACTGACCAATTAGTAGGGTTTGAGCTAGGAGTCCTGGAAGTCCTCTTGGAGCCCTCTTGGGGCGTCTAGGCGGCCGTTTGGGCTTCAGATGTCGTTTTGGGCCCTCCCTGGCCAGTTGTGGGTCCGTCTTTGGGCGCTGTAGGGCCGTCTTGGAGGTACCTGGGACCGTCTTGAACCGTTTTGGGTTTCGTTTGGGCCGTCTTGCGGGCTTCGTGGGCCGTTTTGGGGCGATCTTAGGGGTCCATTGGCCCATCTTGGAGCGTCGGATGCCCGAACAGACGAGAACGCTAACATCTTTTTGATACACCCATAGACAATCAATGATTGTAGTATCATTGAGATCCTTGTGGAGCCCTCCGTCTGAGGGGCCTCTCGGAGCCGTCTGGAGGACATCTTGGAACGTCTTAGGGCCATCGTAGCCATCTTAGGGACACATTGGGACCGTCTTCGAGGCCATCTTGGGCCATCTTGACCGTCTTGTAGGCATCTTGGCAGTCTTGGAGGTCATATTGGCTGTCTTGGACGCGATGGGGCCACTGGAGACCGGGCTTTCCGTACGGCCGGCGGGTTAGGCCGAAGCCCCATGGGGAGGTTTTTGAAAAGAGTCAGCATTTTGCCGCACGTTTGGCACGCCGTGCACCCCTGTCACAAGCCACGGGTGGTGGCGGATCGAAGACTCCTACGACCAATCAACGCCGCCCATGTGGCCGAGCGTTGTGGCCAGAGCTCTGCCAAACTATCGGAACATGTGCTCCCCTAGCCGTTGTGGAAATTGTTCGGGGAACATTGTTGGGAGGATGGCGGGGAAGATCAGGAGTAGGAGGATGAGGGGCACTTTTGCGGTCCTCTGGGGGCACTCTTGTCTTGGGACCTCCTGGGAGCCTGGGGGGGCTTCTCCGAGGTCGAGGCATCTTGGGTGGGGGCCTCCTTGGGCCTCGTGGGGGCCGTTGGGGGCTTCTTGGAGCATCTTTGCCCGTCTTAGGGCGTTCCTGGTCCATCTGACGCCGTCGGAAGCCGTCTTAGGGGCCTCTTTGAACCGAATTGGGGCCCTCTTGGGCCGCTCCAGGGCTGTCTTGGAGGCCGTCTTGCGTCTTGAGCGTTTTAGCGGCCTCTTGGGCCGTCTTAAGGGCCGTCTTGGGGGTTTCTTTGGCTGTTCTGGGGCCATATCGGAAGCTCTTTGGGCGATCTTGGGGGCCTCGTGGGCCGTATGGGGCCGTCGGGAGGCCGAAACGAAACACATGCTAAGATTCATCGAAACCAGGAAGAAGTCAATGACTTTGGCCTCTTCGGGCCTTCCTGGAGGCCCTCTTGGGGGCATCATGGGTCGTCTTGGAGGCCTCTCGGGGGCCGCCTTAGGCCATCTTGGGCCGCTTTTAGGCCGTCTTGGCAGCATCTTGGGCGAACTTGGAGGCATCTTGGACCCTCTTGGGCCGTCTTGCAACCCATCTTGGACAGTCTTGGGCCATCGTGGCCGTCTTGGAAGCGTTTGGGCAAACTTTTCGGCAGATTGTGCGTCCTTCCCTTTGGCCGGCGCGCTGTGCTGAACCCCCAGGGGAAAGAACCAATGCCACTTGAAGTTTAGCACGTTGGGCACCCCTGTTGGAACAGTGGGCGGCGGATCCATTGGCCTTCGGCCCATCCCGCCACCACACCTTGATTGCCGGTCATATGAGCGTTGGTTGTTTGCCGAGGTTTCTCGTCATGCTTCTCGGGGGAGTCCTCGGATGCGCCCCTAATATCTTCGACCATAAGACTCGAGTGGTAGTTGAGCGGTACCACTCGGAAAATCTCCCTGGAGCTTGTTGAAGGCAGCTGTGAGGCCTCTTGGGGGCCGGTCCGGGCCTCTTGAGGCTTCTTTTGGTGCCCCTGGGGGGAATTGGGGCCTTGTTGGGGTTTCTTGGGGGCCTGCTGTCGTTCTCGGGTGTCCCCTTGGGGTGGAGGGCCCGGAAACTCTGTTCAGGTTACCCTTCTTGGGTCCCTCTCTTGGGAGTTTTGGGGCCGTTTTGGAGCGATGGTGGGAGCTTCTTGGAGCGTCGAGGGCTCGGAAAACCAAGAACGGTAAAATCCTTCAAACACCTCTGTGGAAAATCATTGACTTTGGCCTCTCGGGCCTTCTTTGACGTGCTCGTCGGACTCTCTTGGGGCCTCTTGAGGACTTAATTCTGGCCGTCTTGGGGCATCTTGGGCGTCGTTGCCCAATCGTTCGGCGACTCGGGGCCCTCCTGGACCGTCTCGGTGGCCTCTTAGGCCGTCTTGGACCCCTCTTGGCTTCGAAGAAAGCTATGCAACAATACCAAGTACTTCCAGGATCGACGGGAACGCCCCGAACTCTAGGCTGTGGGCTCCTTGGAACCTCGGACGCCTCACGAGAAAGGAGAGAGGGCTGCAGGGACCTGAGGACACTCGCCAGCGCAAAACGTTTTCGTATCCACGGCCTCGCAAGCCAGGCCCCTGGGTTGCGACCCCTCGGATACGGGGCGTTTTTTTCGCGGAGGCCCAGCGCGGAACGTATCCGTGCGACCGCGTATCCGTAGGATCGCGTCGCAGAAGTCAGACCGCGGGGCGTGGATATGGATACGTTCGCCGCTCGTTAGAGACTCCATGAAGTGCCCGTTCACACGGTGGCGGATATGTATTTTCGTGTGTGCGTGTGTCTTTGACATGTCATGCCTCCAGCATGGGGCCTGGGGACACAGATCGCACGGTATTCTGTCGCTGCGTCATCCGCGGTGCGATCCGGCACCCGATTTTCTCCATGCTGACGTGGCCCATGCAGCGTCGATACAGAGGTGATGCGGCGCGATCTTTGGCCCAATGTAGGCTGTATCCATACTCCATAGACGAAATCGTGAGCGACGAACATATCCATATCCGCTGCCTCGCGCTCTCGATCTCTGAGTCGCGATCCCGAAGGCCGAGGAGCCTGGACCGCGGGGCCGAGGATTTGTATGTGCTACCTCTCTGCGACGAGCGTCCCCCCTCCCTTTACTATTTCCCCCCTCCGATCCCCTCGGAATGGGTACCCCGAGGAGGGCCAGAGAGAGTGTGGGGGCTCAGGCCTCCCGATGGGCGGTTCAGGGCCACTGAGGACACGAAAGGGAACCGAAGCTGAGACTTCACTGTTTGAGACTGACTCGTCCTCAGGGCCCCCTCCCTGAGGGTCCCATCTTTGAGCTGCCAAGCCGGAGGCCATGTGATCATCAATTTTCGGAGGTCCCCGTGGATTTCTTGGGGTCAGCGCCAGATCCCCCTCTCCGCGCCAACTACCGTGCTGGATCAAGTCTCATATGCTCCGGATGGCGCGCGGGCGGCACAGTGGTGTTGCTTTTGGCAATTTTCTGCATTCCGAGTCGCGCGAAGTGAGATCGGCTCGTGATCTTATGGGTCGTTCGTGGGGTCATGACGGCGAAGATCGACGAGCCTATGGCGTGGCAGAGCAGGTTGCAGTCACTTGCTCTTCTCGTAGGTTCTGCATCTGTGGTGCGTGCGTGTGCGCGTTATGTGTGCGCGTGACGTGCGATGCGTGACGTGCGATGTGTGCGCGGGACGTGTGCGAGAGCGTGCGTGCGTGCGCCCCTGTGCGCCTGTTTGCGTGTGCCTGAGAGGAAGGTTGTGTCAGTGAAGTGAGCGTGTCTCTATTCGTACTTGCGCATGCGCTTGCTCGTGATCCCGTGCATTCGAATGCGTGGGCGCGCGTGCGTGCTTCGTGCATGTGTGCGCGTGTTCGTATGTGCGTTTGTGTGTGCGTGTGTCTGCGTGCGTGTGTCTGCCTATCGCGGCTGGTCAATCGTGTCTCGCCGCGGAGGAGGACCAGGTCCTTCCCCTCCTCGACCCTTGTGTGTGTATGTGTGCTTGTGTGTGGTGTCTCATTCCTTCCCCTCCCCTCCCCCGTCGGTCGGGCCGTGTCCCTCGCGCTCGGCCGTTTCCTCCCTCGGCTGTCCGCCGTCGCTCCGCGCCCCTCCATTCTCCCTCCCTTTGCTCGGCCCAGGTCGGGCGTCAGCATTCACGCTTATGTGTGTGCACGCTGGCGCGAGAGCAGCGTAGCGCAGCGTAGCGCAGCGTGGCCCCCCATTGGATGAGCCCGGCGCACCTCGCCGGGGCTGCTGCGTGGCGTCTCGGAGGCACGCTCTGCCTGGGTCCCGCCCGCTCTGCTTAATTTCGCCGTGTCGCCGAGCGCACGGCCGCGACGCCAAAACGTGTGCGAGCACTAGCGGGCCTTGGCGCCTGCGTGCGCGCTTGTCAGGAGAGCGCCCAGGCCGTTGCAAAAAAGCGCGGTCAGGTGATGGAGCCCTCCGAGGACACCGTCGCATGGAGGCCAGCAAGGCGCGCTGACCGACGCCTGAGCCGATCGGGGCCAGATTCGGGGTCGTGGCGTACATGATCAGACGGTCGACACGACCTGGAGGCTCTTCTTATCGTTCACAGCAGGTTCGGGACGCCTCGACGCGACGCCAGCGGGGGCGTGTAGGGTTGAACACCCTATCGGGGCTCAATCGGACGGTTCACACGGTGTCAGAAGCGACGGCTCGCGTCGTCAATTATGAGTTGGTCGCATCTTGTTGCGCTCTATGACATAAGTGTTGCTTGTTCGTGGGCCGTCTGGGAGATACTTCGCATCCCTTCACCGATGCGGCTTGGGTTGGCAAGCGCCAGGTTTCTTTTCTCCCTTGGTCTGGATCGGGTGTTGCGGCACGCAGGCTGGGATATACGAAGGTTTCGCCAGCCACTGTGTAGCAAGGCGGAGTCCCGCGCGGCTGGGATCGGCTCCAGGCGTTGGGCAGTGCCGGGGCCCAGCGGAGGAGTTGTCGCGATGGGGCGCGACGGGGAAGTTGTCTGGGAGGAAGAGGGGGAGGGAGGGAAGAGGGCGTGAGGGCAGAAGGGCTGAAGGGAAGAGGGGCAACGATTGGGGGGGAACAGCATCGATGGGGGTGGTTTCGACCCGCAATCGCCCATTGATCGCCCACGGGGGCCCGATGGCCCAAACCTGCCCAGGACGGTCCGGATTCACAACCGAAGGTCTATCGCGCCGAGCTTTCGGTTATGTATCCCCGATTCCAGGTCGATGTGCCCCCCCCCCCTCTTGGCCAGCCCCCCTGGTCGTTGCCCCTCAGTGAGGGCCATGTTGGGGGGGTTCGGGCCGTTCCTCAGATGTAAGTCGGGGAGGCTTTCCGTGGCCCAACAAAAAGCGTCTTCGTTTCCTGTGCACCGTTCCTTCTGGTAGCACGATGACTCGGGGAGGCAAATGTAAGGAGGGCGTCCAGGGAGGCACCGGGTGGCTTCTGGAAGCATCAGAGACTCCGAGTCTGTCGATCTTCGAATGTCGGAGCTCGAAGAGGAGGGAGGCCGAGAAGGGATACTGTATCCGTAAGGGCTTCGCCACATGCCGCCGGCCCCTCTCTCGGATAATGGGAGATGCAAAAGCTAAATCATGAGGTCTGGGCGCCGCCGTGAAGCAGTGTCGGGACCTGTTTGTTTTTGGACCCTGACCCCGCCGATCTGCGTAAGGGGTGCCACTGAAGTTCAGAAATGCTGCAAATCCCTTATGTTTTTGGACCCTGACACCGCCGATCTGCATGAGGGGTGCCGCCGAATTTCAGAAATGCGGCACATCCCCTGTGTTTTTGGACCCTGACCCCGCCGATCTGCGTGAGGGGTGCCACCAAATTTTAGACATGTGGCAAATCCCATTTGTTTTTTGACCCTGACCCCGCCGATCTGCGTGAGGGGTGCCACTGAAGTTCAAAAATGTAGCAAATCCTGTGTGTTTTTGGACGCAGATCCTGCGGATCTGCGTGAGGGGTGTCAATTTTTACCTCCAGAAATTCTTGGTTGGTTTGAGGGGTGATAGTTCTGCTGGTTTGGGCTCCCCCCCCTCGCGCGTTCATCAACAAGGAACAGTAAGCAGCAAGAAGCAGAACTGTAACAGTGGAAACTGGAAGCTACAACTGGCACAGGGAGCAGCACACTCCCGGCCTACAGCCTGGTGGCCCCGCAAGGGGGCCGGCTGATATCTGGCAGTGAGTGGCAGGTGTAGCCTTAAAAACATTCAGGCACAACCGCAACCGCTGATGACCCAGTAGCCCAAAGCGCCTGTTGGGCGATTCAACAAATCACTAAAATTTGACTTGGCACCAGGAGCGCACGTACAGGATTTTATCGTTGCCAGGGCCGTCATCCCTACCCGCAGGGCTTGGAGACTCAGATGCTGGGACGTGGGCGAGCGCATGGTGATAAATCATCGCGGAGGGAGTCCTATACATGTATGTCTTTTTGCATATCATATGCACGACATCACGCATGAACACACAGCTCAATATGTGTCTCAAGTGAGCGAATGTCCAATAAACATAGATTCGAGCTTTGCATGCGGAGGTGCCCACTTTCAGTTGTCAGTAGAGCATTGCAGCAATGCTCCATTACCTAGTTCGCATGTAAACCAATCTGAGGGAGGGCGGCACACCGCAAGACGAGGGAGCGGGGCGAGAGGGGGAGGCAGAGTGCGTGTCTGCACCGCGCGGGAGCCCACGACTACTCCCTCCGGTGCGCGTCCGCACTTGCACTCTCCACGGCAGCGGCGCGTTGGAGAGGATATCTGTTGCTCCCTGCAGGCCTTTCGCTGAGAGTACAGTCACAGTGCTACCCTAAGCAGGGTGGAATAGGGAACGAGAGGTCTTGTCTGGCCACGGCGAGCCTCGGCCACGAATAGATTCCCCGACCTAGGTCGAAGGGAAGTCCCGAAACTAGAGCCCAAACCCGAGTCCGAAGCGGTGCGTTCCTCGCGAGTTCAGATTGTATGTATTTCTGGGGCCCCTAGATCCCAACATGCTGTGAACGCCTTCCCGATTCAATAATCGACTGTTTCCTGAGGTAACCGCCTGGACGCCTGACACTTGGGCGCGCCGCAGACAGATCTGCCAGACTTGCTTTCCTACTTCATGTTACTGCCAGCTTCTTCAGAACGGCATTGAAGCATATGCCCCGGCTGCCGCCAGTGTGGAGGGATGCGGAATTTTGCCGACATTGCCCAGTCCACATATTTGGACCCTCCGTGCCCACATTGGCTATAGAGTCGTGCAAGGGCAGCAACCCGCGAGGTCCGAGAACGCCCGCGAAGGCTCCGACTTGTCGCCGAATAGTCTGGCCGCCTCGCACTCTTGCTGATGCGTTTTGCCATTGTCTGCTCTTTCTCTGCAGCCGTCTCCGCGCCACCGTGCACACAGGATAGACCGGCGCGCCTCGGTGAGAGACAGCGCGACCAAGGGCCGGTGCCTATTCACGAATGAGGCCGCACGCCTTTCTCTAGCTCGCTTGTTCTTGCAGGCCGCCCATCAAATGGGGCCGAAGTAGATGGGGCCGGTGAATCACGCCGCATCGCCGATTCGTTCCATGTCGGCGTTGCCGATGCATCGGCGATGCGAGGTGATCTTCTGACACATTCCACGTCGGCCCCATCTGAGCGGCTTCCATTTTTAGCGGCACTCCATTTTACTAATGCCGTCCTTTCTGTCGGCGTCTCCAGGCGTCTTTCCTGCTTCAGTCCTGATACGCTGGATTGGTCGCCAGTAAGCTCGCATACTGAGGAACGGGATCGAGGGCAAGGGGGTAGGTACGAAAGCTCGGCATCCGACGAGGGAACGGAAATGATCGAGACCCAGACGTTTCGGATCTGCATACTATCTCATGTGTTGTGCTTCATTGCTCCGCTCAGCATTGCCTTAATGGAGAAGCAATCCCTCTAAACTGCTTCCCTGCCCATGGTCCAGCACTCATATCACCACGGACGGAAAGAGCAGAGAGAGAGAGAGAGAGTGAGAGAGAGACAGAGAGAAAGAGAGGGACAGAGAGAGCGGGACACGCACACATATGCGTACATAGGTGTATAAGTATGTATAGGGAGAAAGAGGCAGAGAGATAGAGAGGGAGAGAGAAAGAACACTATGGAGAGAGAGAGGGAGAGAGGGAGAGGGACAGCGAGAGACACAAACAAACAGGTACGGAGAGAGAGCGAGACAGAGGGCGGGGACTGGCAAGCGGTGAGGGAGCCCAGCGGAAAGCCCGTGGGCCACTGCCCACAGCATTCTTGCGTGCTCGCACCGCGAAGCGAGGCGCACGCGGCCGGCGTTGCGCTGTCTATCACCATCCCCCCCCCCTCAGTATCGTTTAACCGATCCCCGTCCCCATCCCCATCCCCTTCGAGACGCCCACCAAATTACCACCCCAGTCGGAGATACACTCCTCAAAACCCGAAGGGAACGACCTATATCCCCATCTAGAAGGGTAACTCGGCCAGTGGGGCCCAGGCAACGCCGCTTGGGATGGGGATAGGTTAAACGATACTCACCCTCTTGGTCCAGATGGCGCAAACACCTGGAGCCAGGATCAGCTTTGGCACCCCCCCGACGCAGACTTCTGGATCCCCTTCCTATCCCTGGCGTCGTGGTCCTAACCCAGGCAGCGAGCCATGAGGGAAGAGGCGATTGGCGGTATTCAGGCGACCTGGGCTCCGGGACACCTCGGCCCCGACCGGGGGACACGTTCTTCATCTCTGGAAGGATTCGGTTGTGCCCTGTGGCCGAGAGAGCAGCCCCCAGATGACGAAGGATGGTGCGGAGTTTCCGCCGCGACTTTTGCCGAGTCGTCAGAGGCCTGCCCCCGCCCAAGAAGTACGGGGGGAGGAGGGGATGGGGAGGGGAGGGGAGGGGCACAGGGCGAGGAGCAGGAGGAATTTGCACGCGCGTCTGTGCGAGACCGGGGCGCGGTGTCGCGAAGTAGCCCAGGAGCAAGAGGACACGAAGGAGGAGGAGAAAGAGGGGGGTGCGGGGGAAGGGGGAGGGGGAGGGGGGAGGAGGGGAGGGTACAGGGTGAGGAGCACGAGGAGGAACATACAAAGGAGGAGAAGGGCCCCAGGGAAGCCCCCTGCGGGCCCCCAAGACACTTCGGTGAATCGCATTTCCCAGAGCTTTCCGGGAGCATGATTCCTTGGGCTTCTGCCCGCCGCCCCAGCCATGTTTCCAATAGGAGGCTTGCTAACAAGGCCAGAAGGCGCCCCTCGGTAAGCCCCCAGAGGCCCCCCTCTTAGAGAGCCGAACAAATCATGCTCCTGGAAAGCTTCCCGGGAACATGATTCTCTATCTCAGAGTAGGCCCGGGGGGGGGGGCGGGCCGCTGTCTGTTCCCCCCATCTGTGCCCGCCGGGAAATGCGGGGGGGGGTCCAGAGCTCCCGAGGCGGCCCGAGCCCGCCCCGAAGCAGGCCACGACAGGCTAAGGGGGTCACGAGGGGGCCCGAGACGGTCCCACGATGCCCCGAAGACGCCCGAGATGCCCTCAAGACGGCCGACGAGGACTCCAACACGCTCCAGGACGGACTCAAGAGGCTCCCAAGAGGGCCCTGGGAGGCAAGATTCGCCCGTTTTACGAGTGTTTGGGATTTTGGTGTTCTCGCTTTTCCCGCTTTCCAGCGCTTCTTCACGGCCTCGGAGGCCCTTCAGATCGCTCCAAGACGGGCGACGAGGCCCCGACGAGGGCCCCAAGACGGCCCAGGAGGCTCCCCAGACAACCCAAGTGTGCCCCAAGAGCGCGCCAAGACAAAGCCCAGAGGGGTCCCGAGGTGGCCCGGGCTCGCCCCGAAGCAGGCCACGACTGGCGAATGGAGGTCCCGAGAAGGCCCTAGACGGTCCCAAGAGACCCCGAAGACGCCCAAGATGCCCTCAAGACGGCCGACGAGGACTCCAACACGCTCCAGGACGGACTCAAGAGGCTCCCCAAGAGGGCCCTTGGAGGCAAGATTCACTAATTGTCCTATGGTTCTTGAAGGATTTAGGCGTTCTCGCTTCCCCCGCTTCCCAGCGCTCCCTCACGGCCTCGCTCGGAGGCCCTTCAGATCGCTCCAAGACGGGCGACGAGGCCCGGAAGAGGGCCCCAAGACGGCCCAGGAGTCTCCCCAGACAACCCAACTGTGCCCCAATAGCTCCCCGAGAGAGGGCCCAGAGGGGGGACCGTCAACCGATATTTCAAGGTCTCTGGCCGTAGAGGCCGCCTGTAGGCCCCCGGAGGCCACCAAGAGGCTCCCACGAAGCCACGTGAGGCGCCCAAGAGGCCCCCAGGGAGCCCCAAGAGACCCCCCAGGGGCTCCCAGGGAACGCCTAAGAGGCCCCCCAACACACCCCAAGAAATCATGTCCCCAGAACACCTTCGGGGACATGATTCATCATGGGCCCGAGAGTTCTCGGAGGGCCCCAAGGGGCCCCCAGGGAACACCCAAGAGACCCCCCAACACACCCCAACAAACCATGTCCCCAGAAAGCCTTCCAGGGACATGGTTCATCATGGGACCGCGAGTCTCCGGAGGCTTCGAAGTACCATCATGCTACAGGAGAGGTGTCTGGGAAGTTGATTGGGAACATGACTGATCGCCTTCTCGCGGCCCTCCGCAGATCGTTTCGCACAAAGTTGCCCCAAGTGCCCTCTTGAACCGACGACGACGATGAAACGACGAAGACGACGACGACGACGACGACGACGACGACGACGACGACGACGACGACGACGACGACGACGACGACGACGACGACGACGACGGCGCGCCCCAATAGGCGACGACGACATTACGACGACGACGACGACGACGACGACGGCACGCCCCAACAGGCTCTCCAAGACGCCCCCAAACCCATGCTCCCAGAAGGCCTTCTGGGAACCCGATTCATACGGCCTCCGCCCCCCTACAGAACAATTTTCCTCGAAGGCCTCTCGGAATGCAGATTGGCATGCGTGGACTGTGGTCCACTACTTCAGTGGAGCAATGAATTCGTCAAGGTCTGGGGCCTGCTAGAACCCGAGCGCGCGCGAAGCGCGCGCGATGGTTCTAGTGTGTGTGTATATACATATGTATATATATATATATATATATATATATATCACTAAAGGCTTCGCCCCCATGCCGCCCGCCCCCCTCTCCTAGAATGTGACTTCCCAGAGCTGTGTTGGGATGTTTGGGCGCTGACGTGAAGCAATGTTAGGGCTTCACGCGAGGGCCAAGATCGATTTCGAGGGTTCATGGATTCGGTAGCGCAAATATCACGTAGTGTACGATGGTTGATGGCTTCGGGGACGCGAATCTTGTCATTTACAAGGCTTTGTGGCCTCGGGGACGCAACTATTGTGTAATGTACTAGGGTTTATGGCCTCGGGGGCGCAAATATTGTATAATTTTGAATGGTTTATGGCCCTTCGGGGACGCAAGCATTGTATAATTTACCAGGGATTATGGCCCTGGGGACGCGAATATCGAATAGCGTTGGAGGGTTTATGATTTCGGGGTGTGAGTAACACTGTAATCTACGACGGCTTACGGCCTCAGGGACGCGAGTATGATTTGATTTACTCGGGATTCTGGCCTCGGGGACGCGAATGTCACATATTTTTACGTGTTCCCCCCACCCCAGGAATTCACATAACGCGACCTGGGCGTGGTAAAAATGCTGGTTTGGGGTTCCCTCCCATTCGCGCGTTCAGCAACAATTAACAGGAAGGAAGCAGAACGCAGAACTGTAACAGTGGAAACTGGAAACTGCAGCTGGAACAGGGAGCTGCAATCCTCACCCTCGCAGCCTGGTGGCCCCGCAGGGGGGCCGGCGGATATGCGTGCATAGGGAAGCACGCCCTCGCCCTCTGCCCGCGTGGCCTTGGCAGTGCCGGGCCGGCAGGCTGCGGGCCCCCGGCCGCTTCCCCTGCGAGCGCGCCCCGCGGCCCCGCTCCCCGAGGCGTGCGAGCCCGGGCAGGTGGTGTTCGTAGAGAAGCCCGTGCTGGTGGCGCTGCCAGGCCCTCCGCCCTCGGCGGCACTCCTTAGAGGAGCGAGGTTCTCCTCCTGAGAGCTCTTCCGCGGGGAGGGCGGCGCTGGGTTGGGGAGGATGGCCCGCCTTGTGGCGGCCGAGCGCGGGCCTGGCCACGGGAGATGGAAGAAGTCGGGAGCCTTGAGACGGGGGTCAATGCAAACGGGGGTCAGCCAGAGCGCCGGGTCCTCCAGGATCCTGCAGAGCCAGGGGTGCATTGACCCAGGTGCGCGCGCAGGATGCTGCAAGGCCTGATTGACTCGAGATTGCACTGCCCCAGGTCAGTGCGCCCCCGAGACGTCAACGATGTTGGCACGATCCAACGTTTCTGTGTTATTTTGCTGTCCCGCGCGGCCAGAGACAAGTTGCCGAGCACGAGGTGCCGAGTGCCGTCAAAAGCTCGGGCGCTCCCAGAAAGCATCCCTGGCCAAGCGCATCACGCCATCATTCTAGCCATCATTCCGCCTCGGCGACGTTCGGTTCGGCGGCCAGGCCGCGGCCAGGCACCCCTCGACGAACACGACGACGACGGCGGCGACGGCGACGACGACGACGGCGACGGCGACGGAAGACGACGATGGAAAACGACGACGACGACGACGACGACGACGGAAGACGACGACGACGGATGACGGACGACGGACGATGGAAGACGACGACGACGACGACGACGACGACGACGACGGCGATGTAAGGCCGACGACCGACGACCGCCGAAGATTGACGCCCCTCGACAGACAGCAGACGACAGATGCGGAAGATGTCTCAGGCCAGGCCGGCGGGGACACCCGCAGTTGTCCTTTTTTCTCACCTGTTTGTGCGTGGCCCTCAAGGCGCACGCGTCTCTGTGGAGTGTCCTGCGGCCAAGTGCCCTGTGAAGGCGCCGTTGCACAGGGGGTGGGTACATGCTGACTGGCTGTCTTGCTCGTTCATCCCTTTCACAGGTTATCAGCCGTTTTTGCGTTGCTCACTGGGCCATGTGTCCATCGTTCTGTTTTTGGTTCATTCGGAGTTGTGCTTCTGCAGCGCCAATCGAAAGACGGCGCAACAGCTTCAGGTGATGGGGCGGCCCATCGTCAAGGTTCATTCTTCGGGGGGGAGGTTTCGCTTTCAACCCCCCCGCAGGTGTACGTCGACGCCCTCCTTTTCTCGCTGTCTGTTGTCCTTTGCTCTCTTCTTCCGTCCATTGCTTCTCTCCCGCCATCCACGCGTCCTGTCCTCGCGCTTCCGTTTGTGCGCGCTGTCACCATGCACGCATTCCGCTTCGAGCGATTGCTGGAAGTTGCGTCTCACTGAACGGTCTTTTTTTGAACGTCATGATGCATCTGAGCGCGCGCGCGCGCGCGCTGCTCGCGGGAAGAAATTATGCGATCGCGCCGCGGAACTCCAACGCCCTGGCAGAGTTGCATGACGTACGGGCCCAGACTGGTCAGCCTGCTACCCGACTTCCTTTGCGACGTCGGCCTCACGGGCGGCGGACCTCAGGGCGAACGCGTCGCCCCCCCTGGGCTCGAAGAGAGATTCGAGAATCAGAGATGCTGGAAAAGGCACGGGTCGGGGATGTCCCAACCCGTTTGGGCCTCGCGCAAGTCGCGCGGCAGTCGCACGCAGGATGCGCTTCCTCGCAGAGATCGCGGCGCCCGCAACTGCAGGTTGAGTCTTCGCGGCGGGCCTCGCAGCAGCTCCGCGCAGATCCCTATCCTTCCTCTCTTGCAAATGGGCGCGGATGCCCCTCTTCGGGGGGCCCTTCCCTCTTTTTCTTTTCTCCCTCTTCTCTCCCGGTCCCGCAGTCTCCGGGGGTCTCTGGGGGGCCCGGCCCTCGTCGACGAGAGCGGCCCATATTGGGCGGGGGCGACATTTTCTCTCGTCTCCTTTCTGCTTCTCGTTTCCCTTTCCCGCGCGGTCTCGCGCCCGAGAGGGGGCCGGCGGCGTCGTCGGCGCCCCCGCTCCTCGGGGCAGTTGATCCTCGGAATCCAGCGGTGGAGCTCGCATCGTTTCACGTCGTTTCGCCCGTCGTCGGGTCGAGGGTGACCCTAGGATTGACAAGCTTGAGCCAGCTGCTCACAGAGCACAGCCGCGTCGGACCACGCAGGCAACGGCGGCGGCACGAGGGGCAGAAAGTACTCAGGAGAAGGCGCCACCGCAGTGCAGGACTACAAGGCCTGGAAGAAGCGGGCGAGAGCACGGCTCCTGGTCGAGCGGGACCGCGGCGGGAAGCCGGAGACACGCGGGCCCATGTTCTACACCCTTCCAGAGGGCACCGCGGTGGACGCCCTGGAGCACGTGGAGCTGGAGGAGCTGGCCGTGGAGAACGGAGAGGAGAGGCCCTTCGAGGTGCTGGACTCGCGCACCCCTGAGCGCGAGGCGGCCGACCGGGTCGGCGATGCGCTCGAATCCGCGTTCGGTTTGAAGGTCGAGAGGGCGGAGCTGGCGCGTGCCTACGTCGGCCGGGCGCAGACCATATTTTTGAAGGCGAAGAAGGAGGGCGTCGAGATCCCCGACGTCGCCCAGGGTTTCTTCCTCTTGCGAGGAACTCGTCTCGGAGGTGATCGTCGCGCGGTGGTCCTCGCAGCCAGCGAGCGCCAATGGACGTCCGACAAGCTGTCGCAAGCGCTAAAGACGGTCTACCCGAGGACGCTGCCGGAGCACGGCGCGCACGCGATTGAGGAGGACTCCGCTTGGGGAGAGGTCGCCGAGGAGCCCCGGCGCCGAGGAGGAGGACATCTTTCTGGCGGAGAACGAGCAGGGCCGGGCGGAACCGCTGGAGGAGGACGAGGCCACCCAGGCGCTGGCGACCTGGAAGGAGACGCGCGCTGCCGTTGCGGAGGAGCGCAAGATGCGCGGCCTTCCACCAACTCTGGCACCAGACCTGAAGAAGTTCCCGTCGCGTGTCCGGTGCTGGGCACGCTGTCAAGTGGGTTATTGCATGAAAGAGTGCCCCAAGAAGCCTAAGGGGGCTGGCAGAGAGGGCGCCAGACCGCGTGGACAAAGAGGCCAGAGGTTCGCGGCGCACTTCGCTGAGAGCTTCTACGCCGCGGACGAGGAGGCAAAGCCTGATACATGGATGGAAAAGAGGACATCTTGGCGGCCCGGGGCCACCAGAGGCTGCGCGAGCACCAGACGGGGGATCACTTCAGGCGTCTCAGGGAGGAGCTCGACGACGACGAGCAGATGGAGGCGCTGCTGGTGCATTCGCCGGGATCGGGCGTTATCGACCCAGGGCGTGCACGCGCGGTGATCGGCGAGAAGACGCTGGAGAAGCACCGGAGGACGACAGGTCTGTCGCTGGAGATCGCGAAGGACCATCAGTCGGTGACGTTCAAGGGGTTCAGCGGCGAGGAGCAGCACTCCATCGGAATCTGCGCCATCCCGTGGACCATCGGCGAGCACGTGGAGCCCATCGAGGTGCGCGCGATTCCGGGAGGATCTGGGCTTTTGTTGAGGAAGCCGCTGCTGAAGTTCGAAGATGGGTCGCCAGCTAGACATAGAAAACGATCGACTCATCATCAGGGCCCCGGGGGCGCGGGCGCAGTTGCGGGCGACGACGGGGGGCCGCCGCGACGTTCCCTTCGACGTTTCGACGGCGACTCCACTCGATCGGGATTTCCCATAGGGCCGGGCCGCTGCCCTCAGGCCCCTGCGACTTCAGCCGCAACTCTGGCAGTCGCCCCGGCAGTCGGGAAGGGAGTGCCATTCATCGTGGAGGTTTTCTCTCCGCCGAGGCTGACCACGAGGGCGGCAGAGTTCGGGTTCGGGGACGGCGGCGCCTCCGATCTGGAGACGGGCTGGGACGCTCGCCAGCGCGAGCACGTGGAGCATCTGTTCCACGACCTGGAGAGGAAGGGCCCGTTCGTTGTCGCGCTGGCACCGCCCAGTGGGAAGCCGTCGCCACTTCAAGGGCTTGCGCCAGATGCGAAGCGGAGGGGGCCGGAGAAGTTCAAGTTGGAGCAGGCGGAGGCCATCTCGTTCATCGGGCTGTGCTTGAAGATTGCTACATGGCAGGTAATGCGGGGCAGGTATACTCATTCATGAGCAGCCGTGTGCAAGTTCAGCATGGGGGTTGCCAGAGATGGTCAACGTCTTGATCGACGAAGCCCTTTGCGTGGCGGAAGCTGCAGCATGTAGGTTTGGCAAGGGCGATCTGGCGCCAGGGTTTCCGCTGGACAAGCGTTGGCGCTCCATGTCGGACATGCCCGAGGTAGGGGGGGAGGTGGATCGCCAGTGCCTCGGGGGCCACGGGCATCAGGAGGTCGTCGACAGTGCGGCGGGCGCCAAGCGGTCCGCGCGGTCCCAGACCTACCCGGACCAGCTCGTGAAGGCCCTCATTCGAGGTGCTAGTCGGTCGCGCGCGCAGGAGGTGATGAAGGTCTCAGAGGCGATGGGAACGGAGGACCAGCAGGAGAAGGAGGCTCCCCCCAGGGGATCCCTCTTCCACGGTCGGCCCCAGAGCATCGAGGCCAGCCTACGACGTTTGCACGTCAATTTTGGTCACGCCCCGGCGCCGACCATGCTGGGGCATCTCAGGCATGCCAACGCGACCGAGGAGGCCCTGGGAAAGGCGTCGGAGGTTAGGTGCGATGAGTGCGAGGCGAAAACTGACCCTAAAGCAGTCCGACCAGCTGCTCCTGACATCGCGCAGCCACCCCTTCGGTCCATCGGCATGGACGTGAAGGAGCTTCCAGGGTGGTTGCCAAACCAGATTATCAAGGCGCTGAACATCGTCTGCGATACGTCTTCGCTGCAGTCCATGACGCCGTTCAATGAAGACGACGAGGAGGTGGCGAGCGACCTGCTCCGCATGTGCCGCGACAACTTCACGAGACCCTACATGCGACCAAAGTGGCTTCGACCGGATCCGGCGAAGCCCCACGTCTCCCAGGTGTTCACCAGCGCCATGGAGCGGGACGGCACCACCATCCTGGACACGGCCGGAGGCGCCAAGGAGCCGAACGGGAAATTGGAGCGGCACGGCCAGTGGTTCGCCCAGAT